AGACTAATTAACATCTCAAGCCCGTATCTTCATTTTTATTATATTTATCTCAATTATTAGACGCTCGAGACAAACGCTGGCTTACAGTAATTGCCACAAAGTATTATTTATACTGTAAATTACATCGCAAAAGGTACAAATTTACGTTCACCTATATTATATAATAATATTCGAGGTAACCTTTTGTATCCAAGTCACGTACCGGTTAATATAATATTTACATGAATAGAATGACTATAAAGTCGTATTACAATAATTGTTACCGTTGCTGGAACTGACACCTCACTATTATTATTCTGATTATAGCAAATTAGATACTCGACTTTCATCAAAAAGTTAAAAATACACCAAACTAAACAATCTTTGGCGCTTTGTGATCCGATCAGAACTGCATGCGAAATGATTACTTTCATGAAATTACTGGAAGTTTCCTGAACAACTAAAAGCAATTATACACTAGAGTCTCCTGACTTAATTCTGAATATGATATGCATCGTTATGGAATGCAATACCAAATAATGAGTGGAAACCCCCAAAAGCGTAATTTCCTAGATGACCACCAAGTAATTTCAAGTAATGGCTTATATTCGTGTGATAATAACTCGAGTTTGTTTACAATTCAGAAAAACGATTTTATATTGTGTATCATATCTCGAGCTTCCAGCAGTCAAAATTACAAAGCTCGCATTATTATTAAAATTATTGTTGACGAAAAACAGCAATATTCATTTTAATTCGAGGTTTGTGTACTAGAAAATTTGTAAATACGGGGTAGACAGAATGTAGAAACTAATTTCATTCGTAAACTTAGAACAAAATTGTGATTCAAAAAAGGCTGGCTGATACATTAAAAAACAAGGGATGTGAGCAGGGACTGGCGAACTAATAACGTTTCGATTACAGAAAACTTTTGCCGCATCAAGTATTTAAAGGTTTTTGTGAAACTGGCTGACGTCGTATTGTTCTGAAAGTTTTTACAAATGACAATACGTGGAAAATTTCGATATTTCACTTCGATATCGTCGGAAAAACTTTAATTATTCATCGGTAGTAAAAGCTTCCACTTTGCCGAGTATTCTACTCATTTGCACAGATTACTAAAAAACATGTCTCTGGATAAACAATAAAAATGCCTGTGGTGTGTCGTGCTATCAAACATGTCAATATACTTTAGATTTCATTGTGTTTTATTTATAATGTACACAATAACGGCGACAACTATAAATCAATAATGCGACGATATAAAAACTTATTTTTTAGTCTGTTGTAGCAATATTTAGATTGTCTGAAGATACATACTAAATCCCACTGTAGTTCTATTGACTTTAGAACTTTGAACATTAAATACGCGTAGCTCGCGCTGGTAAAACATTGCTCTACTTCAAATACACGTACTTAATTTATCGATTCCCCACCCTGTAAAACTAACGAAAAAAAACTTTGCATTGAACTTGAGACCAAATGAAATGCAATGTGCAAACTTCAAAAGTTGTGACACTAATAAAACGTTGTAAAGTAATAAATATGGTTCAACTGCAAATAAATTTATGAACTATTGGCACAAAATAAAACATAAGCCACACTTAATCCAAATACATATTCAAACTATCAAAACCACCGACAAATTAATGAAAAATAATAAATTTATAAACGCAATACCACTGTGTTAAATTGCAATCAATGAAACAAACATACAGCTATGTGATCCACAATATTGATCCCTTAAAAAAAACATATTTTGCCAATGAATACACTAAAACAATATATGTATGTAGTATGTTGTTCAAGAAAATTACACTTTTCATAGCAAAACGTTAAAAATTTTTTTTTTGTTTAGGTCTACAATATTAAATATTGGTAATATAATTTATTTACAATCATAAAGTAATAATCAAATCAACTTGCATGTGAAAGGCTAGCTAATATGACAGTTCAATTTCATTTAACAATTGATATGAAGTATCAGGTCCAGATTGGGAAATGGACACTTCCCAACCTCAAAACATCATAACGAAGTGATCAATTCCCAATCTGAGCTGTTATGTCATGTTTTTCAAAGTTTGATACATTTTTTATTCATTTTCTGATCTTGAAAGAAGATGATTGTGAATAAAATAGTATATGTAGGTATTAACCGCGCCTCGGTTATCAAATTTCGCCTTGGTAATGAAGCACTTCCCACCTCGGTATGAAATTTACTATTTTATGGGCATATAAAACATTATTTAATTCAATAAATTAGAAATTGTAATAGTACAAATCAACAATTCGTTACTTCATGAGCTCTAGAAATTTTTATTTTTTTATTTTGGTAACAAAACTTTCAATACAGGATGCGCCAGAACTCGTGCCCCAGAGAAAAATGCCATATAAGGTAAGATACCAGGAACATGGAAAAATGTTAAAAAAAAATTATCTATAAAAGTTTCGAAGTTATGAGAGTTTAAATTTTGCACTTTGACTCTATTTATCTCTGTTGGAAAAATAATTTTTCAAGTTTTTTTGCTACAGGTTATTAGAAGAGGAAATAAGGAAGCTGTATTCTAAATTGTAACTTTGTTTAATGTTGTTTGTGGCTTTTATTGGCAAACTTTTGTACCTTTACTAAATAATTGTAAAAAAAAACATATAAAAGATCATCAGTATCATTAAATAGACATAAAAAAAATGTCAAATGTCAAAAAATATATGTCAAAATTTTTTGACAGATAGAATATTTTAAACATTTTTTCCATGTTCCTGGTATCTTATCTTACTTGAAAATTTTCTCTGGGGCGCGAGTTCTGGCGCAGCCTGTATATGCAAGCAAACAATGCCACCCACCAATACTATATTTTTTAATCAAATAAAAATCTATTAAAACTGTATAAACAGTTGTACACACGGCAAAACCAACATTACCAACAGCTAATTGAAGTCGTTTGTAGTGTACGAGGGTCGAAGAACAGTACACACGCAAAATTATGTACAAACGCAGAGCCCATCTCCGCGTATGGATATTAATGCTCAGGTGGATCACAGAGCGTTATGGGATCTCGTAGTGCCAGACTAAATCTTCATTTCTCTACTTAATGTTCTCTGATAACAAGATACCGCCTTGCTTTATGCCTAAATATGCTTCATACACTCGAGGCCATCGTAAACACTAAGTGCACGGATATGTTTTTGGTGATTGTGATAATTTACAGCAAGTTACATTCATACCCTCAGGTCGCCCACGTCTCAAACATCAACACGAAAAACACCACCCAGACAGGCGCACCTTGCTTATTTCCATGTTGTAATGTATGCTGAGACCTCTAGAGTAAATCATAGGTTTCCAGTAATTACTCCGAGATAATTCCCCGTACCTTCAGGTAGAATTTCATAACACATAGACCATATAGAACAGTTTCTTGCTTCATTATTTAGAACACAACTCTTCGAAAAGTAAATTTAAACAATCAACAACTCTCAAATCCAAAATTACATCAAGCTTAATGTTATTCGCTTTTGCAAGGAGGAACGAATCTGTGGTATAATGATAGGATTTATCTCCGATCAAACAATGTTTTCCTGTGTACCCCACTGTGTGTAGGCATTTACCAAGTCGTGTTGATTTTCTTGGGTTGGAACAAAAGTGGGCGCTTCGAAGGAGTGCCGCAAATTTAGTTGAATAAAATTTGTCTAAGGCAAAATGAGATAAGACAAACATCTGCTCGGATATCCACTAAAAAATTCTATAACGTGTCAATAATCGTCAAAATCGCATTAGGCAGAATTGACAAATGGAAAGCGGCAAAATGAAGAGTCATCCTGTGAATAAAAATTATTTGATAAAAAATGAATAGAATGACAAAGGAATCGCACAGATAGAGTAAATCTATAGAAATGAATGTAAATGAACTTTATTAATAATAGCACAAATTAAGAATATAAAATAGTCAGGTCCAATAACATAATTTGAAGAATTTTTTTTAAATGAAATCCGTTTTTTGCACAAAGAATATTTAAGTAAAACAAATTTAACCTTATGATCATCATATATTGCATATCCTTCATTTTGTTAAGCGCGATGCTTAGAGCTTACAAGACAACAATAATTTATAATTACCCATTTTCAAATTTCCAAGTTTGTAATTTATAAATAAAGTTTTATCCCCGTTTTTATCGTTACGTAAAGATTTATGCGAAGCATAGAACTTTTGTAATTTTTGCTGAATTGGGTCCTCAATAAAGTTTCTTTCTTAAGAGGAAGCCATGTTTGAAATGTCCCACGAGTGAAACTTCTTATTTCATATGCATTAAAATAATTTTTTTGAATACAAAAATAAACCTTTGAGAGGATGGTACAGAAGTGGAAATATTTGCAGAGTTTTATTTGATAAAATATTTTTTTTTAAAGATGTTGAAAAAAATCTATTTTGTTTAGCTCCATTTATCATATCAATAGCATCTTTGAAAGTTTGGTGGAGAATGACGCCGTAACATTTAAGTTTCTCTTCTGACGTTCGAAATAATTTATGGCGGCGTTGGTAGGAAATTTGCTCACAAATCTTGTAGATCTTGCAACATTATTTGAATATTTCTAGGATAAAAGGGGCAGGAAGTTACTAACAAGGCAATTCATTCGATCGTGAACTCCGCCAGTTTCAAGGGTAGTAGTAAAATCAATAAATGCAAGTAATTTATGAAAACGTGCCGCTATTCTAAAGCAACTCACCGGAATAGTTTGCCCCGTTTCATCCCTTTGACTAACGAGAAAATTCTGTTTGAAAATATGAAGCGGCGCATTTGCGCGACTTTCGATATATCTAATGTGCTCAAACTAATAAAGTGAATATAAGTTGAAAGGGCGCACCAGCCGGCCGCAAGTTTACCGCGGAAAAGAAGCCAGACAACAGTAAAAGGTTTCCGATAAATTCCAGTCGTGTGGTCAAAGTCATTAAGAACAAACATCAAAGTGGCACGAGACCATCAAGAAACAATATCCGGCGGGTGGTAGCCATGTTTCCACTTACCTTCCTCCCACGAGCAGTGAGTCTCCATCTCGCAACATCAACCGGAAGTAGTCGGTGCGAGTATCGTTCCCCACGAAGTGGTGCACGTCGTCTTCCGCTCCTGTGGACAACAAAACATTCATGAGTTTCTCACTAGCAAAATCCTCAACTAGCTCAACCAACTCGGGCAGAAATTCAACAAAAACTAACGCCACCTCCACCAAAAGGATGAAACCGACGACGCGTCAAAAAGTTAATTGAAACAAAAACTGTTTATAATTCCGGGACGATAGTTTACCCAACATACTACCATTTCACATTTAACTTGGTCTAACAAACACCAACTTGATGTATTCAACGTTTTAATATTGTCATCCGCACATTCGCTCTAATTAAACACAAAAGTTAAATGAACGTGGGCCTTTCTCGCCCTACAACGTAATTAAAACACAAATATTTCAGTAAACCGCAACCTGACAAACATTTCAAAAACACAAAGTGTCATAGCACCGCCGGAACCGATATCTCATGTTTCTTCTTCCAACCGCGCCTGATTCAGCACATCGATCCCAACTTTCTTTCAACGTCTTTCCATTTTCTTGCGGATTAAGTAAACTTATATTGTAAAAAGCTACCCAGTTAGCAAGATTCAGCTTTTTCACTCTGAAGCAACTCAATAGTTTCCGGGATGAACACTGGGGGGCATGTGATTAATGACCGAGAGGTGATGGTGCGCTCACTAAAAAATACAACCGAAACAATTCGGGACACCGGACACCTGCCACGACACGATTTTTACTTCGAAACAATACCAATCTCAAAGTTTGTAAACGCGACTTGCAAACGTGCAATTCGCAGCTGCTTCTATCTACTGTTCCAGGGCTAATTCCAGGGCATCATTATTATTTAAACTGTGTATGAAAAACTGATAATAAATTTATAATGTGAAAAACTTTTACATTAACGCTCACACTGATGGCAGAAAATTAATCTATAGATTAATTTATTAGCTTTCAATGTAGAATTATTGTAATGCTTATAAAGTGTGATAAACAGTTCACTGGTGTGTAAATTCAAAATTTATGTGGCTATAACGCGACAATTAAAAAATTTAATATTGATATAAACAGGTGTCTGAATCGGTGTGTTCACAATAGAGAAAACACACATTTAAGATTAATTTTCCTATCGACAGGTAAATTATAATGTAATGGAAAATATCATAATTAAGTGCGTCTGAATTATGTGTTAACAAACAAAATTCGGCCACAAAAAAGTAATACAGTAGCCGCCGCGCCGCGCCGTAAAATACACTTACAACGTGTTGAAATCGATTGGTTATTTAACAACGGTATGTTTTGATGTTTTAATAAAAGCACCCCAAGTAGCCCTAAACATGAAATTAACGTTCTAAAAACAAAACGTTCAATTTTACGCCAAGTTATAGGTAATTACAATTGTAAACAGTTCCTTTAGAGTGTATATTTACGGTACGTAAATACAATAATAAATTTGGAGCAAATCTGCCAACGAAACATTTGTGTACAGTTCAATGATGCTTGTGCAATGACCGGTTAGATTACATGCAATGTCACTAAATAATGCGGAATTGATTTATCTGTGAAGCGCTTTGCGACAGGCGCTCTCTATAATGGATGTCATCTGATACTATTGATGTTATACTCAAAACATGCAAATGAAATTTAACACTCTCGACAAATTACCAAGAGAAATAAAATATGACTGGTACACACGGTACACAAATTGCCTGAAAGCTCCGCTCTTTTATTTAAATTTTGCAACATGTTTCGAATCAATGGAGACAACCCTGCTGTTCTATTATGACTAAACAAATAAAATAATAGTGAAAATGGTTTACAATATAAAATCAAGTAAACTTGCAACGATTTATTCAAATAGATTAGAGCAGCTTCAAAATGGGAACATACAGAGTTCACAAATACGTATGCCAATACCGAGGTTATATAAGTAATACTACTATTATTTTCAAACGAAAAGTTCTTGTCTGAAACAATCAACACACAATCCCAACGGTACTTTGCGCAAGTAAAATTGCCTTCATTTCTGTAAGTAAAGACTAATTTTCAAGAATCGCAGTGCTTTCAGATGTCGCCTTCGATTTAAATCATCCGATAGACATGCAATGGCGCATATCTGATGGAAAGTAGGTGAAGAAAAGCACCAACATGGGGTACATAAATATTATAAAGCTCACGGAATATAAAACACGTGCGATTGCTATGCCAAGAGCGTGCTCCGTGAAAGAAGAAGCATATTGAGAAATTTCAAATATCCGATTGCTATCCAAGATTGTAAAAAGTTCGATGGAGAATTGCGATGATACGACCACCTCAATGTGATAGCAATAGCAATAAGATGGCTTGTCGGACAAGAACTGGGATTGCTTCTTGAATATGTGCAGTAATATCTCAGTACAGCAGACGATGTATTTAGAATGTAAAAGAAATATAGACACTTCGATATCGGAAACAGAAAACTTAGTATCGAGCTCATCCAAGAATATTATGTCATTTGGCTAATTAATAGCAACGTGGAATTAAGTTGTTGATATTTGTCCGAGGCATTTATCAAAGAAATGGCGCAATTCGTTGCAGATATCGCTGCGACCAAACCACGAAATTTATTTTGTCGTCTTAGAGCAAAAACTCCAAGATAGTTTAATAGAAATTTATATGGGCTGATTACATCGTTGTAGGATGTCTCTCCATAAACGACAAAGTCATCAGGGAACGAGGGAGAGATAAATTTTATTCGGTTGATGATGATGGGAGTACTCGCATGTTCCGCTCCACAATCGATTCTGGTCCATTAATTACGCGAGCATACACATGTATGCAGCTCGAATTTAATAACATGGCCAAATGAGACACCGCATGTCAAGAAGTTAACGGCGCAAAAAGGCAACCGTGGACAAGTTTAGTAGAATGGAGAGCGTAAAGTGGCAACCTGAAATGAAATTGCCCGAGTGATTAATCGCCGCAATAGCTCTGAGGACATGTATATCCTGGAAAGCTGCTTCAATCATTGTGACAAATAACAGTCAGGCCGCGACAACTACACTTTCTCCTGAAGGCACCGAGTCCTCTCTATACAAGCCTCTCAGATTTGATTACCGAATCCCCAAAACCCTGACGCTTTACCATAACAAATTGCGCTCCGAGCAATCGTTTCACGAAAAACAATCCGAGGGTCCATATGTGACAAACAAAACCTTTTCACAAAGAGGAAACGCGGCGCTACATTAATTTCCTTAAATTAATAAACATTCTCTAACACAATGTTTGCCTCGAAATTTTATAGTTTGTCGTTTCAGTGCAGATTGAATCAATTTAATTATACTAAAAGACAAACAACCAAATTGAAACTCATACACATTACTTCAAATTCCAAAAATAATAACTGTTACCATCCATTTAAACAACATTAATTTCACAAATCAGGACTAATTCAAGTTTAATTTGATCATTTCTGATTTATTTAATCATCAATCATTGATCCAGATTTCACCTCCCTCATCAGAGCAATCGTTCTTCATTGATTTTTCTTAAGGTTTTTAAACTCTCTATGAGCAAATATATTGCATATATCTTGTATAAAAATTTCAATCCTTGACGTCTTGTCAATAAAGAAAGTTGTTTTTTCAATAATTTGCTAGTATTTATTAGATATTTTAGTTTACACATCGAGGAAATCGATAAGCAATCACGCTGAGCACCTATTAAATTTTCTTTCATACAGTACAAAAAATATTCATTCGTACAATGGCCAACGCCTGAAAGAGTGAAATACCTTTATTCGCTTTATTAATTTTTCAGAATGATCTGGCATGACATAAAACAGCATTTCTTGTTAAAGAAAATTGGTATTGCCTGTCTCAAATTTAGAGAGACGGGAAGGGTAACTTGCGTGTTTACAGTTGACAGCATTATTTAAATTACTCTCCAGTTCTTGGAAACTTTTTTTAATAAAAGTAATTTGAATACTCATTCAATGTTCAACTAAATAAAAGAGAACACATTTCAAAATCATTTTGCAAATAATTATACAAAAACCTATGTATGTTCACAGTTGCAGTTGGGCTCTATAAAAATTACCTTCAGTAAATAAATTTAATTATAAAGCAAAATTAGCATTGGTAATTAAACCTAAATTACATTGTAGGTTTTTATCAAAGCAATTCTAAATTAACTCACCTAAAAAGATACTTAATTCCATTTATTTCAAACAAAAACACTGAGAGCAAATTGGCTCAATAGGTCTTATTTATAATAATTAGTCTGTTTTATTGCGTTTCAAGCGTTTCGTTCTGGAGCAAACACTTCATGAATTTCAAAAAGGACTATACACACGCAACAAGACGCTTCTCTAATGAAATTAACGCTAAACGTTGTACGAAGAATTGTGAACTTAAATACTCTCAAAAAATTATTAGGAGTAAAAGTGATAGTTTATGTGGTCAAGCTAAACGTTTATTTTGTCGAAGGTAATGAGGTAAATAATTCAGCTGAATAAACTTTCTTTTAGTCCGAATAACAAATACTATTTTAGTATTTTAGCCGCAGACGTATTCAAATCGAGATTAAAGAGGAACACTATGATTTGCAAGTAAATGAACAAAATAATCATGACGCTTTGCAACAAAATCCAACCAAATCTTATAAACAAGCATCACGCGTCGGTATCGGAATTTGTCTTGAGATTTTCGAAAGTATTTATAAATTTACCTAGTGGATAGTGACTAGTGCAGTTAGTAGTGCCAAATGTCGGATTCTAATGATCTACACTGTACCCCTCCAGAAATTGCTAAATCAGTAAAAAAGATAAGACAGAAAAAAATCGGTAATGTCAATAATGTCATGATAAAAGTAAAAACACTAAAGGGCAAAAATTGAATTTTTACTCTGTGATTGAAAAGTTTTACTTGTGACATTTAGTCATAAAAGTGATCACTTTGGTGAAGTTTGCGAGTAAAAGAAATTAATAGACACAAAATATCAATTTTCGACCTATCCTCTGGACCTTCACACAATTTTGCTACCAAAATTTTCCACCTGAAGGAGCGCCGAGCCTAAATTTCTT